AGCCAAATTCACAACCATCATGGTTAGAAGTTGCCTTGTTTCAAGCATCCTGGAGAATGATTAACCAGAATTTGTCATGCTTGTAAGTTAACAAACTAAGAAAAATCATTTAGACCCCTTTTCTCCACTACACAGAGCCTCGTGGCGCAGTGGTTAAAATGCTGTACTGCAGCTAAAACTGTGCTCACGACCTGGGGTTCAAATCCCAGGTAGCCGGCTCAAGGTTGACTCAGCCTTCCATCCTTCCGAGAATAAATAAATACACTAGAAGAGATATACACATGATTTGCAGAGCTGTTTTTCATTCTTCCAGTGTGAGGCTCCCAAAACAGAGCTTGCATAGCTGCTGCATGTGTAAATTTCGGGCACATCATGAATCTCATGGTAGAGATAAAATACCTAATAAATAAATAAATAAATAAATACACTAGAAGAGATATACACATGATTTGCAGAGCTGTTTTTCATTCTTCCAGTGTGAGGCTCCCAAAACAGAGCTTGCATAGCTGCTGCATGTGTAAATTTCGGGCACATCATGAATCTCATGGTAGAGATAAAATACCTGTTTCTCTTTGGATGTTATGTCAGAAGCACACACACACACACACACACACACAAAATCATGTGTGGCTCTTTCTCTGCCTCAGTCGAATATCAGAAACTGTTCTCTGCCCTTCCCGGACTATCTGGCACTTAGTCCTCTGGAAAACACAAACAGTGCCAGGGAATGGCTTAAGATATATTTCAGAGCTGGCAGTGGTCTCGTTTCTGCCACTTGCGTCCCTCATCTCCCAGCTGAACTCTGCCCTCCATAATGTGGATACATGAGTTGGGGGGGGGGAGGGAGAGAGAACTGTAGAAGATACAGTGGTAGAAATGACCTTATGTCACAGCTCAGATTGCTTAATCAAAAGAGACTGGAATTCTCTGCAAATTCCCTGTGTTTATTTATTTTTTAATAATTTTTACTTACAATTCTTGAAAAAGGCAACGTCAATAACTGATTATTGAACAAGCTTTATAACCCAATTAGCCATACAACCGCATACACAACAATAATATCTCTGTGAAAAATACTATCTATTCTTATGCCTATGTTCTCTCAAGCTGAAAAAAATAGTGGACCAATACTCCAGCCAGCTTCTCAAAATGACATCCTCCCCCTTTAATTCCACACCAAAAAATAACGGATACCAAATTTTAATGAAACCATCTTCTTTAATGCCTCCTCTAAACAGTCTAAACCTAGTACTGTAGTCAATTTCTCCATTACGGATACTACCCATATCTTATCTGAATATCTCTGAAAAGAAATATTCAGCTTTTTTCCAAAATCTGACAATTTCAGTCCCTGCAGTCTCTACAAGGATCCTCATCAGCTCTTTATCAGATGCATTCACATTCTTGCTAGTGAATAATGAGAATAACAGTCAAATTTCATTAGGGACTATCCTTGCTTAGTTAACTTGCTCAACCAATCTATTTCATCATGCTAGAATAATCTGATTTGATAGGAGATCTACATAGGTTCCAGTGATCCCTTTGAACCACAATTTCTCCAATACATGTCTTCTGGCTGGTCAATGGATGAGAATCCACTTGAAACAATAAACTAAGGTTCATATCCCAGCAAAATATGCTTTGCAGTGAGTAGAAAGTTCTCACATGAGTTACTATGCAGACATCTGCCATTTATGCAACACCTTTCTTAATCTTCCTTTGTCTCTGGCTTTGGAAATGAATATCCTTTTATTATGGCTTTTTTTCTAAGTGCTATCAAATCACTTGCAATGGATGGTGATCCTAATATGTTTTTTGAGATGTATGAGTTGATCAAGGAGTGGTTTACTGTTACTACTTCAAGTAAGTTTCCATGGCTGAGCAGGGATTTGATCCCAGGACTCCAGAGTCTAACACTCCACACTGGCTCTCTGTATCCAGAAACTAAAGCACTAGAATGCATGATTCTATACATACTGTTCTAACTTAGGAGAGTTTGAAATGTTACTTTTTTGGACTACAGATCCTAGAGTTCATCATGTTGGATGGTAAACTAGGAATTGTAAGTCTACAAAAATAACTTTTCTGAGTTTTGCTGAAATTCTCACTGTATTCTGTATCTCTTACTTTCTAGGAAATATATTTAGGACTGTAGCTTGTAGCACTAGCATCAAATATCCAGTGTGAAAGCAAGTCACCCACTTCACCTAGGATGTCCATGATGGGAAATCAAGTTGGCACTTGCCCCCATGTATCTGAAATGTATTCTTTTTAAAATGTACATAGACAGGCACACTATGCTATAGCAGTGCTCACTATAGACATGAATTATACTAACAGAATCACTGTGCCCCTTTGCCCTCTTCCTTTGAAAATTACTGGGGATACTCTTGCTCTTGTCTTAGCTTGTATGTGGCAGGAACAGAAAAGTAAAAAGCTGAACCTCTTGCATGCTTTTAGGTATCACCTGACAAATCTCCAAAGAAGAAAGAGCTTGTAAAAACAGGTAGCTTTCAGTAACCAAGAAAGACATGTTTAGCTCTGTTGCACTGAAAGAAAGAAGGTAAAACATGGACATCTAATATGTATTTTGCTCTACTCAATATGCCTACACATTTTGTCTAATAATGCTTAAGTTCTTATGGCAGCAGTTTATCTGGTGGCTTGTAGTTGCTGATGCCTTTCTCCCATCAGTTCCTTAGGGTGATGTAATCATCATCATCATCAATCATCATCTTAGAACTACAGAGCTAGGAGGGACACTATGGATCATTAAGTTCAGCCCCTCTCAGAGAGGCACAGTGGGGAAATGAATTCCCATTCTTGGACTCTGCAGTCAGATATCTAAACCACTGGGTTATCTAGCAGTTCTACCTCAAGCAGCATAGTAATATGGATGTTGCAAAATGTAATTGCAGGAAGATTATGTTACAGCTGTACAAGCATCAGTGTACTAGGCTTTCAAATGCCAAATGCAGGCTGTAAATAAACTTTTGTACCTTTAAGGGCTGCATAGGAAAGGAGGGAGGAAAAAGACTACTGGGTATAGCTTCTTTGTCCCCATAGAACTGTGATGGGAAAATCTTTTACTGAGAGGCTGCATGCAATCAGAACTGCTAAGCATTTTGGAAAACCCAGGCCTTCTTTCTGTGCCAAAAGGGAAATGGAGTTTTATGAAAAATCTTTCTGCATGAGCTTCATTTTGATTCCAAGGTGCAGATAAAAGTTGCACATGAAACAGGTCATAGACACAACAGGGTGCTTTTCTTTCATTCATTCAAGATGGCAATGATGCTTTGGAAATGAAATGCTTTTGAACACAGTGTTTCCCTGAAAAAAGCCCGTTATATGTCGGTCTCTGATCCAGGGAGGATATTGCATGAGAGCCTTCCTCTACTCTCTCCCTGTCACTCTCTCAACACCTGCTGCACGGGCACAGCGCCAACAGCTATTGTGTGGGTTCCCTTTGCCGCCACCCCAATTGCTAGACATTTAATGGGAGGGCTGGCATCAGGCCCAAATGGTTTGTTGGACTCTTTTCTGTAAGTGAACTCCAGGTCTCTCCTTCCTCCAGATTTTGGGCACCCCTTCCGCTTAAGGAAGCATAGTCATTGTTGAAGTGAAAAAGATGCCAAACACCTCAATAATTCAGAAGCACTGCTTCCTCGGCTTTCCCCAGGATGTTGCCTAGAAAGCCTTTATCCTTTGTCCCAGCAGACATCTTCAAGCTCAGCAGAGAATGACTAGCCTAAGCAAGCCCAGACAATTTCATTACTCTGCAGGATTTTAGCCAGAAAGTGAAGTGTATGGGCTTTCTGAGATTTCTAAGTAGTATTTAAACAGTGATTCTATTAGGTTACAGTCTAAAGGAAGTGATTGATGCCAGGAAGGCTTCTAGGCAGGTGTGCCATCACTAGTTTTGTGAAAAAGGAATAGCGATGAGGAGGAAACAAAATACAGGGAAGAGACTGCAATAATATTAAGGTGATACTTTTAGGCTAAGACAAACAGATTTTAAGTGTGGCTGAATCTAAATTTCCTTACAATAATATGTCTCATAAGTGGATTCAGTTAATGACAATACACATATATCTATAGTTTGGAAAAATGTTCACCTGAGTAGGTGCATATATGCAACACTTTAACAGTGTATAATAGTCTCTCCAGCACTGTTCTGAAGGCCACATCCTTCAGTCATATCACAGTACCAATCACATCTAAAATATAACTATTGTGTTGATGTAACTGACTGTGAAGATAATTTTGTTCTTTTAAAGTCTTTTAGAACAACAATTCAACAATGCAATAATTCAGGCAAATGAAGAGGAAGAGGAAGAAGGTGGTATATAATACAGTATTCAGTCTCTAGAAATCATACTCCTGATGATGCTATCTCACAGTTTTTTTTTATTAATGTCTCCTTTGTAAAAGAGGAAAGTCTTATTAGAAGTGTAATGATATTTATCTGGCAAAACTAAACAATCCCTGTGGGGATGGTAGACGTTTGGTGGTGCTTTACATGCTGTCACTTTATGGTCACCCATAAGGTGACCATATGAGAGATCTCCAGCTTCTTGTCTACAATAAAGGTTATGCACCAGGACAATTAAATGCTAAGGCACATTCATTTCTTTGAGAAACAATGCATAGCTTCTTATGATCTACACAGTTAAAGGCTTTGCTGTAATCTATAATGCATAGACTGGTATTCTTCTGAAATTCTTTGGTGAGCTCCAAAGAAATTGGTGTGTCTCAGCACTTGATAGTCCTGATGCATAACTTGTATTGTGAACAGGAACCAACTGTCAGGACAGAATATGGACAGAATGGTTTCCTTTTGGTAAAGGCTTCAGATGAGTATGCATTTCCCTCTTACCTGTTTAATGAGGTGGAAGTTTAGAGCTATTTTAATTAGCTAATAATGGTACCACATATGGAATGAATTAGCAGATGTTTGGGTTGGTTGTAAGATAATAATCGCCAGCTAATGCTGAACTTACGTATGGTGCAGAACACACCAGCCGCAGTGGGGGTCTCCTGAGCTAAGACATTCTCCACAAGTGGTGTACTGTTCACAGGATTCGACAGGAACCTGTGAGACCTAAAGAGAAAAGGAAGACAACAAACATTCAGTGCAATCACGTTCATTTCAGTGCAATCCAACTCATCTCATTTGCACAACAAATCAAGAAAGTAAGTCTCACACAGCAGACCTTTCTGTAGTAAATATGTGGATAAATTTTAATTAAGACAAACAGAATTCCTGGAAAGGAAGGGAAATATTTCTTCCTCTTCTCTACTGTTCTCTCTGTAGAGTTTGAAGAAAGTGAAGCACAGAAAAGCAAAGTCACTGTGGACATGCTGCTGGCTTCCCGTTGACCTAGGTTATCAAATTAGCTAATAGTTTTTTGAATGAATGCTACCTTCAGCTTAGCCAACCCTCTCTCCCTCAAGTCAGTCCTCTCAAATGGCACCTTTCATTGCCATTAACAGCTAAACAGTGTGCTGATGCCAGAAATTGACCAAGGTTTCCCTTAACCTTCTAGATGAAAGCAAATTTAACCTATGTTTTCAGACCCCTCTTATAAGGAAACACTATATAATTTAACATATAACTATTGGTGTGCTCTGATATCTCTTGTACTCACAAATAAAGTAGTTACATGGAATCTGATCTAGTGAGAAGAGATGCTACCAGCAGAGAAAATGTATTTGTGAGTCTAGCTCTTAATTTGTTAATCAAATTAAGAGGAAAAACGTGAAGTGATCTGCTGTGAAGTTGTACCCAGAAAGTTAGCCTTTTCCAAGTGAATTTGCTTTACTGGATCACACAGGAGTCACCAGAGAGCACAGGAAGTTGCCAATATCTACTTCTTAGCACCATGTTAAGGTGGCTGTACTCGAGCTGTCTAGATTTGCAGGGGGCACAGTCACCATGGTGCTACTTTAGCAAGCTGTAAACAAGGACTGGTTACTAACTTCTTCCTCACTCACTTTTTTCCTGTTTGGTCTACCGCTGCCCTATTACACCAGTGCTGACACCAAGTCTTTAAACAATCAAACGAACAATGATTTGGAGACAAAGCGGTGCTCGGATGAGGGGACACCCCCACAAGTGCTGCTTTACTTCCCACCTTAAACTAGGAAGCCAATGTGAATGCATTTGATTCTTAAAAAAATGGAAGTCCCAGTGGTGGAGGGAAGAAACACAGCTGGGGTGTGGGACAACTCCAGGCTGATTCACATTGACTTGCATGTCATACATTCAATGGAAAATCAAGTGAATCAGACCGAGCGAATCCCAGAGCATTTTCCACATTGTTAATGTTGTTGCACCCTTCTCTTATGTTCACAACTATCTATGGCTTGGAGGGAAAACACATTACCAGTTACAATGGTTTGACTCTATTCAATTCAAGTTCTGATCATCCTCTCTATTTGGATGAGGATGAAAATTTAAAGATACTAGTATCTTTTGCACAACTTGCCAAGCTAAGTAAGTACTGTACTGTACTGTACTGCTGAAAGTAGTTTCTGAGTTGAATGAGGTCATTTGAGGATTCTATACAAAATATTGCAGGTAAAAGTTAGCTGCCTCAAGACATTCTGATGTCTGAGGAAGACAGGGGAAATGTCAGCTTCCAAATCAAGTATGTGAGGCTGGCCAAATTATTCTTGGCAGTAAATGAAACAGAAAATCTTAGAAGTGCTTCTCTGTGATAGTAAATGTATAATAACTGAAAAACTGATAACTGTTCTTTCACGACACCCCAAACCAGTTTATTTTTATTCATTCATATTCTACTTTTCCACAGTGCATTGTGTTCCAAGAAACTCACAATTAACATCAACATATCAAATCTTAATAAGAATTTTTCAAAGTTTCGTTTGAAAAAGAAAGTTTCAAAATTTGACAAGCACAACAAAATAATGCAATACCCAAAGCATGAATTCTGCATTAGAATCTGGACTTAATGTATAATACAAATAAAAATCAACTATAGCAGCAAGATAAAAACAAAGAAAGCTAATCCAGCCTTAGACTCAGTTTAGGATATTTGGGTGTGCTCTTCTTATCAGGTTTGATTATTCACATCTGGAGCCTTCCTCTCTCCTCCAGAGGAGGATGTTGGTAGCAGCATGAGGGAGGTTTCACGATCTTGCTCTGCCTTAGGGCACTGCTAGCCTTGAGACATGGTGCATATAGGATGCCTGCAAAAACATGCATGCTACTATCTATACCATGATTAGGTAGAGTGCAGCTTTCTGGATGAAGTTGGAGGGCAGCTCTCAACATTAATCACCATTTGCTTTTCTCTTTCTGGCTGATGGGCACTGCAGCCTAACAGCATTTGGAAGGCTGCCCATCTATAAATATGAGGCCTATTAATAACTGTAAAAAGCAGGGTAGCTTCAGGGTGATTTATATTATGTAGTATTTTGTTTTGGAGCAGTAGGGACTATCAACAAGAGAGTTGACAATTATGTTGGGTATCTGTATTTAGAGGAAGAAGAGCAAGACAGAGTGGAAAGCTGGTATCCAAGTTTGTCAACTGACATGTGGGGTACACTAAACATGCAATTGACATATGAGGGTTGTTACATTTTCAGTGCACCTATCAGTATGAGACATGGGGACATTTCCCTGCATAAAACAGCAATAATCACAATTTGTTACATTGGAAGCACGGCAGAAACACAAGGCTAGTTGCACAGCTACCAGTAAAGATGGCATCAGTTCATAGCCCGCTAGTAGCTTGTGTAACTGTGGAGAAGGCTAGCAGGGCCAAGGGTATAGCTTGTGCTGAAAGATGGCCCAGCTGCCTGAGATCAAAGACAGATTCTTGGCTTTAGTAAGGAAAAACTATCTGTTAATGCCTGAAGCAAAACTTTTTTTTCTGTCACAGCTCGGGATCAAAAATCTGTTTCTTCAAATGTCCAGTCACATGAACTACCAGACTGAGGAAGATGATGTTCTGCATGCAATCCTGAGAAAACACACTCTGTCATCTAATTTTTCTGGCAGGTCCCACCTCAGGGATTGGGGATAGCAAGGCATGGAGGAGGTGGAGAAAAGAACGAGTAGATTGGTCAGAGTGCAGTACCCATCTCCATCTAATGTGAGGTTATAAGCTCCGGGGCATTTTCATCTAACAATGACAACCATCTTAGAACTGCAGAGCTGGAAGAGACCCTATGGATCATTGAGTCCAGCCTTTGTCAAGGGGGTACTTGCTGGTGCCTTTGCAGTTCTGGTAGTCTCCTCCTGTCACTTTGCTACTTCAAGTTTTGCCATTAAAAACAGTTTAAACACATTTTTTATTGCTACATTTCCTTAAAACATCTAGCAATTGTTTCCATGCTTCTGTTTAACTGCATGCACTGTATGCCCTCACATTCCATCTAGTATTCTTTTATTTTGTGTTAATGGGCAAAATTCTGTAAGTGCATTTTCACTGGTATAAACCCAAGAGGAGTGCCAGGAATAATCAGTTTAAATTTATATAAAGTTCTCTATGCTCTCATTTTAACTTTTGGGGCTCCCGTGTGCTTCCTTTTGCTCTTGGGAAGCTTTGGGGAGCTTCAAGACTGAGGGAAATGGGAGAGTAATAATCAAAAATCATTACCAGATCATTACTACTGGGATAGAAGCCACTGGTGGTGAACTATCTGTGATTATTTTTAAACTTTTAACAGCTTCCCCTTCCATACTGAGGCTCCCAAAAGCTTCCCCAGAGCAAAAGGTAGTCTTGGTGAGCCTTAGAAGTGGACATAGGAGGACATGAAATTTTATACTTATTTAAATTAACTATTTCCAGTTCTCTGTTCTAGTTCATGCCAGTGGAACTACATCAACAGGATTTTGCCAATTGATCTGTGAAGTTTTGGCCTTGAAAATCAACCCACACATGATTGAGATAAATAAATAAACACATTCTGATCACGTTCACTAGCTGGAAAGAGAAGTTACATTATGACTCTTTGACCATCAGCTTATGAGTGGCACATCTAAGCAACAGAAGCTCAGCTTTGGAAGATATGTGGGCCATGCACAACAACTGAGAAGAAATGTTAACTACTGCAGACAAAATGGCTGAGTGAATGGAAAAAGGTCTCTGGGTTACTACCATGTCTCCCTTGCTGGACTTCCATCATACCACCTTGTTGCTTTTCAAACCTCTTGATTCCAGAGCCATAACTGTATCAGCCCATACTTATAAGCCTGCCCCTTGAAGTGCACAGGCCTTCATCAATAGTGGAGCTTGATGAAGATTGTGGGGGTGCCACTGTTACATCTATGCTGAAGGAAATTGTTCTACAGTGTAATTTGGGAAGAATATTTGAAGTGCATGTCACGGAAAAATAAAGTTTTGGAGGGAAGCATGAAAACGTTGCAAACATTTTTAAACACCAAACCGTTTTTTCTATGGCGTTAAAGTGTGGCAGATCCCAGTAGGTCTGGGTTTGTCACATACAATAGAAAAGAAATTGGGAGGGGGGGCTCAGGGAGAACTGAAAGGGAAAGAAGCCCCAGGGATAAGATGAAAGTGAAGAGAAAAATAAGGTTTTATGTCTGTCCCTCCTCCCCCGCCCCAAAAGCTTCATGCTCCAGTAGGTCTGAGAAGACATTTCAAATTCCTGCTCCAGTTCACTTCCCCTATGCAAAAGCATTGGCTGCTGTATCTGTTACACTCACCCATCGGCTCTCTTTCAGCCCTTCCATCCAAATGTAGCTCTTGTATCAAGCTAACGAAAGAAAAGAATCCAGACTCCCCCCCCCTTTTTTTTTTGGCTTCATTTCCACACACCCTGCCCCTTGTGAGTGATGTCGGCAACTGGCTGAGAATTAAAACAACTGTCTGCATTGCATTTGCTCCGTCCGTCAAAACACTGCCCAGCTCCGAGCAGCTGGAGAGTCAGAAGCTGAAAGGAATCAGTGTGCCTCGGAACAAAGGCCACTTTCACGCCAAATACTGTTAATACAGTGAGAACTCAGTTCTTCCCTACATTTGAAATCAAGAAGGCCCCTATTTTTCTGGCTTCCTGGGTCCTACTGAACAGATTTTTCCAGAGGAGGGAAATCCATGTGTGTAAATGACA